GGAAGGTATAAAAAGGTTGACTACCCCTGGTTTAGACTGACACTGGTATTTCCTTTTGCACTAAAGGTTACTCAGAGAACAATAGAATCTACATAACTTTGGAGATTTTGCTTGGTATTGTCAAATGTTTAGTTTTGTTATGAAATTATGTAATGGAGAGTATTCTTTATGTAAATAATTCTTATTAAAACATTTTAAAAGGAAGATAAAAACTAATACAAACTAACGTAAAGAAAGCAAGAAAAAGCTAAAGGTGCAAAGGAAGGGAAAAAATAGAAAAGAAAGAAAAAAGATACAAAGAGGTTTTTTTACAGCTTGTTTGACAAAGATAGTTGTTAACATAATGGTTGCTAAGCATCATTTTCTGAAAACAAAACCTTCATTAATACACTAGTTATTGAAAAGTCTTTTTAAAAAATCTTTCTTGACTTCATGAGATTCATAGGGGAGAGGAGTAAACTATGTGTGTGTATTTGTATATTTTTTATGTATAAATAAATTTATAGAATGATATATCTAAATCGAGTATCAGAAATGTGTGTGTATACAGTATATGTACTCTATATATGTATGTATATGTATGGGGAGAAGGCACTGGAATTTCATTTTAATATGTGCCATTGTGCGGACAGAAAAGTGATAATAAAGGTTATCTTGTAAAGCAGTAACCTAGGTTGTCTTACTATTTCTTAACATGCTTCAAGAACTTTTGTTAATTTCTCACATGAGAACTGATTAAAAGCATGCATGATCATGTAAATCGGGGTCCCCAACCCCAGGGCCATGGACCAGTACTGGCCCGCCACCTGCTGGCCCACAAAAAGTGGGCATGTGCACGAAGCTTCAGTTGTGCATGTGTGAGAGTTAGGTTGCATGCGCAAAACCATTCCCTCTCTCCCTGTCACTGTTGCTGCTGGCCCATGGAGCCAGTAATGTTGGGGACCACTGATGTAAATGAAATACAGTGCATGAGATACAGTTTGGGAAATGGTGCATTATTGCGCTTCCATTTCTTAATTAAATGCAGTGGGTAGTGGATTAAATTAAACCTTTCAAGAGAAGTTTGGCTGAAATAAATATTTTGTACTCAAACTAGAAGTTTCCTCATTTTTTTTTTCATCTAAAGGCAATGTAATTCCAGCTTTAAATTACACCATCCCTTTAATACCAGGGTGCAAAAGAATTCGTGGTGCCTTCCCGGGAAGCTGGAAAGTTCTACTCACTTCCTCAGAGTCCTCAGCAGTTTAAACAGCTCCTAATGGTAGGAGGTCTGGACAGGTGAGCTTCTTGGGGCGCCACCAGCACAATAATTTTCTCAGGGTAGCACTAAAACTCTGATCTGCAGTTTGTGGTGAGAGGGTAATGAATAGACTGAGTTAGTTTGTCACACAAACTGATTATTTGCCAATTAATCAAGTTCCGTGTTAAGAACAATCTGCCTAACAGCACTGTAACTCTCTATGTTCTGCCTAAAAGATTCACATGCTTGAAATCTTGCAAATATTTTCTGTACTGTACAGTCTATGATCATAATCTTCTCATCTATGAGATGGAGAATCAGATTGCTGAATCATGGCATATATAAAACATGTAAGGATTGGGAATTGGCACTATTTTATGATGATTCTACTTCTACTTGAGTGGGTGGTTCCAGTCAGTAGTTGGGCGTGAGAGAGACAGCACCACTCCCTTGGTTGCTCCAGTTTCCCCCCTATATTATTTAATAACTCTATGAAACCACTAGGAGAGATCATCCAGGTTGCAGTGAGGTGTCATCAGCACAGTCACTTAAACATTCCCACCTTGGACCGAACTGGAGATGCAGTAGAAAGTCTGAACCAGGCTGTCAAGGTTTGGGTGAGGCAAACAAGACTAAATCCTGCTAAGATGGAGTTACTATTTATAAATAAGCATCCAGTAATATTGGTCCTAATAATTACTGTAGATGAGGTTATGCTTTCCCTAAAAGTTTGGTTTGTGATTTAGGGATGCTCATAATCCTTGCTTACATGGCAGGTGGAAACTTGGTCAGGGACCAGATCACTAGTGGTCTTGCAAGCCTAATTTATAATGGTGGTTACCACCTTTACAATTTACATGGGAGTGGTCCAGAGGTGGGTTCCTATCAGTTCCACCACAAAACTGCGCTCGACTAAACCGCGTCCGACTAAACCGCGTAGCTGACGTCATCAACAGGGCGACAACAGCATGGAGACAGAAGCACGCTGTAAACGCTAAACCTAAAATTAACACCTAAACCTAACCCCCCTAAACCTAACCCTAAACCTAACCCTTACCTTAAGTTGAATCGGCTTGCTTTCAAAGCGCTATTTAAAGCGCCCTTCTTTCTCC